TTTTTATTTACAGAGAAGCATATTATTAAAAACGTAACATTCTCCAGCGGCAACCGAATAAGCTTGGAATAAATTTATGCTCACGTTACTTTTTCATTTCCAATTAAAACAGAAATGTCCCCCCGCCCCCGAAAAAGAATGGAAAAACTATCGCGGAGTTTATTACCTTTTAATAATAATCGAGTTTAAAACGATTTGCGGAATGTTATTGTTAAAGAGTTTATCGAATTATTCCCGAAGTCACGGAACTGTCTCGTGGTATTCGGAGGTACGCGAAATCCAATTTAACGAGATAGATATGGAAGTAGCCTCAAACACTGAAATACGTCGCGGGATCGAGAAATCTCGAGATCCATGCTGTCTTTTTTGCGAAGGTGCTCGAACGAGCCACTGGCTTTATGTTTCATATTGCAACACCAGAACATATCGAAACCGAATACTCACATTTTAGGAGCATTCCCATTTGGCCTGTGAATCTTTTATTTCTATTTCAAGGCTTCGGCGACATGGAACGTACTTATACCTTCAGGAAGGGAGTCAAAATGGCAAAAAGATATTTTTATCAGCGAACATACCGTATCCCCTGGACCTACAATCCGATCCAATAGGATTGTTAAAAGGAACTTTCACTCGCAATCGTATCATGCACGTACAGTTTTATTCATTAATGTCTGGACCTCGGTTTTACCATAGTGTAACTAGTATGCCAACTCTCTGTCGGTCCTTTGATCTTTTCGGTTTCGATCACGTGGTATTCCGCCATGTTTTTGGTATAAAATCCTGTCACACCGATTTCACACTACCACATGTACAACGTCTTATTGGCTCCACCAAAAAAATGGCGGATGCGCAGAAAGGATCGACGCAAAACAAATGACAGAGTTGGCATGTTAGTTATACTATGGATTTACTAGGATTCATAGTTTCATAATCTTTATTCCCATCTATACATCGATGAGTTTCAGGCTGTAGTTGACGCAACTTAAAACTCAGTGATTTGTATAAATGAGAAAAATGATGATAAAAATGCAGGTCCAGGCATTATTGAATAGGACTGTACATCGTGCAAGAAACGAAAGGAGCTCGATCGAAGGACTCGATTGTTTTCACGTTGTGAAAACGTAGCCAGCGCAAATACCTGTTTCACCTGCAAGTATAGATTTGAAAAATCAACCTTTATATTTTTTATTTCTATGCAAAACCACTGTGGCGTAAAATTTTATTGCTCGCGTAAGTGATTAGATCATACGTGTAAATAAACATGCGTACTCGCGCAGAAAAATAAATCGTCATCGCGCAAAATGGTCCATTCTGATGCGTCGTCCTTTCATGTTACATATGCAAATGGGGTTTGCAAAAAATCCAGCAGCTCACGTCTCCCACTCTTAGTTTTGCATTTCTCCAACGGCGCATGATTCTCTACCGCTACCCTTAATACACTCGGGCCGGTTGATTAAGTTGCTACTCGTTTCTCCTTGCCGAGTTACTTACCTCGGCTGGGCGGAGCACCGTTATTTTTCACAACTTCGTTTACTTTCGTTACCGGAAATCTGCATTTCGCCGCGCGCTACATAAAACGTCGCCGTGCTTCGCATGGTTCACGTTATGGCCGATATAAACTCACGTGCTATAATAACGAGTGTGTAAAACATTTTATTATCGTATGCATGTCGTTGTAGCGATATTTCAGCGACAGGATTACGACGACTTAACATTTAAACAATTATATGTTACCCATTACCGAAAAGGTAATGGGTAGGATAAATTTGAATCAAGTGTACATTTATTTATATCATTTACGATAATGTATTTATCTCTTCCCAAATTACATTCAATTAAATTGCATCTACATTAGATTTTTAATAAATAAATATTAATTTAATTAAAACCGCAGCATATTTATTCATCAGTGTGCTCTGCTTATTTTGCAGCTTAAGCTATTGGAATTGTTAAAAAACGTCTGAATGTATACTCTGGTAAAATTTCGTTAACACTCTTTGCGGAGATAATATTGTAATTAATACTTTCACACATATTATATTCTTATCGCATTTATATAAAATAATTTTATTAGTCCGGTGAATAATCTCTTTAATACTATAAAATCTAGACGAGTTAATTAAATTTTTAAGCGTTCCTCCTTCACGTTTATGACTTTTTATTTATTCAGCTCGAATAAGAATAGTGCAAAGAGTATAGTGCAACGTCAATATTTATTAATTTTATGCAGATTTTATACGCGTGTACCAGGGCGAAAATATTTTGCTATTTTACGTAATCTTTTTTTTTATAAGTGCGAAATCCCAAATCGTTTTAAGGGAAGCTTAGTGAGGGAGACGTAAGCAAGTGTCGACACATTAGGGAAGTGGCTACTGACGATTTAACGGATTACCGGCGCTAGAACAAGAGACCAAATGCACCTCCGAGTAAGCCGATTGCACGGTCCACAACTGTAAGTGCAGTCTGACTTCTCGAGTTTCGTGTCGCTACTCCGGAAAGATCGACGACGTAATGTACATAAAAGCGGAAATGTGCATCCTGAACGGTCACGGTCAATTGGTCGTCGTGTGCATGCTCCATTAACCCGGAATGAATTTGCATCGAAAGTGGCAGCTTCGACGTTTACGCCAATAAATTGCACTCTTCGCGGGGAGACGTCATATACCATAACGATGCATTAATTAGTTAACACAATGAGGTGCACGGGATCAATAAGATAATTTTCCTATTTTTGTGCAACGTAACGTAATAAAACGAAGAGTTAATCTCAAATTATACGACATGCGTCGGGAAATTTAAATTGGGATGGTTAAGGCGAATTTGCTAATGATCACAAGCGCGTATTGGCGATATCGAGAAATGATCTTGAAGAAACGTAATTTCCGCGGTAAATTCGAACGCAAAAGCAGTTGGGTTGCTTTCGCGACTCATCCGTGGAATACGCCTCTATCTTCGATTTTCTTAATCGAAAACCGCAGCAATTCGGTTGCATTCGGATATCGTAGCGCATATCTGGCCGGCTCATGGGCAATTAGACGGAAGCGCATTCCCAGCCATTAGCTCGAAATGAATTCGCATTTAGGAGGCCCGGAGGGCTGATGGGCAAACCGATCGGCAAATTCGATTTTCTCCACGTAGCCCATCTGTGGATTATTAAACTTATCGATTGGAACGCGGCGCGATCGAAGGCGGGCAAGGGGCGAAGGGGGTCAGTGTGGGGCTCAGGATATCACGGCAGACTGTAACCGCCCTTCGTGTCAAACAACCGGCCGCTTCAGCCTCGATTTATTGTCCGGTTATAGCCGACCGTTCTGATTCCGTTTCTGCCCTATTTTCTATCTTCCTTCTTCGCGTGTCTTACGGGGCGAATTTCGTGCGAATGGCATAAACCAATTGCTGTTCTTTCTCTTTGAAATACCGACGACGACGCTTTAAACGTTCTGTTTCTCTCTCTCTCTCCCTCTGTCTTTCTCTACTATGGGCTTCTCGGTCAGCAACCGGTACGGTAAACGCAATTGAATTGGAATTTGTCGTCCGGGTACACACCGCGTCTCATTAGGCGACCGCATTATACTCCCTCGGGTATCGACGGTATCGTAGTACTCACCCCTCACCCGACGACGACGAGTCGAGCGGTGTATGCAGTAAGCGGTGCCCAGCGATGTTGACGGTTTTGTAATTGCGCCGTTATCGATGCTCGATTTGCTCCGCCGGCGAATTCGCCACGGATGCGTGATTCTGCAATTTTTCCGCGGTGCTATTACACTCGGGCCTCTCGTCACGGCCCAACGTCACGTCGCACCGCCTTTCTCATATCTCGAATTTTCTCCTCACAATGATGCCTTTTGCGCAATAATCCAAGTACACAAGTACAAACGTCAGTACTGTAGTGCAATTATATTTATTGCTGCTAAATTATACAGGGTGTTATGTAATTCTCGCCTCACCTCTTATTGACGGATGGAGCGGACTAGAGTGACAATGAGTCGAAAAGTCCTCTACCAATTAGCGATCTCGGCGCTCTTTTTCGCTGTACCGCTCGAGAACGACTGTCTGTCGGCGATTGTTACATTTCAATATCTAGAGGATACAGAGAAGTGCGAAATAACAGAGACCGCTGACTCGGCAATTACATGCATGTACACAAACAAGCGTTAACAGCTTTTGTCTCGAATTTAAGTATCTTACATTATCGCTCGTGACGGATTGTAAGTGCACAAGGCACGCGTGTTGCAACGTAGGAGAGCAATTTTTTTTTTAATGAAAGATATACGGGTTGTCACGCCAGTCAATGTTATGCAAATATGTCGAACATTATTCATGGGCCTCGCACGATCGCAATCGGGATCGATTCTTCAATTTCACCGTTCGATGCATAATAATAATCTACCGACAATGGCGCCGCTATCTACCGACGATGCGAAATTAACTTCATTATCTGATGTTTTACGATAAACTTGCATATGCTACTAACATAAACACTTGTAAATTACGCGTACCAAAAACCACACTCGCTCCTGAGGGGCCAAGCGTATTACGGGAGAAGAAATAAATGGCTTACGGTCGATGAATAATAAAATTGCACAATCTCTGTTGCATGCTGAATAATAGAATCATCTTAACCGACACAAAGCGATCGCGCACGTTTCATTCGTCGATTTCTATGATCTCGAATTCAATCACTGCGTTGCTATCAATTAATCACAGTTGACTTGATATAAACGAAAGAATCCTTCAACTATACACGTGCCCAGTGAGAACACTAACGTCGAATCAACGGGGTCGAAACAGCGTCCCAACTATCAGTTTTCGAAAATAATTGAAGGTTTTCGAACTTAACTTTTTCCCTACTTGCCGCTCAATTTTTTACTCGTTGGTAAAGAAAAATAAAGGCACTTCTGTTGTTTTACAATAGTATAGTATATGTTAAAAAAAAAGACGAAATATCTGTGAAATGTCTATACGCTCATGATGTACGTTCAATATCCGGTGTTTTCCAGAGATCCCTGGCAGATGGAGGAGACATTGTCCACACGGGCCGATGATGTCGGGTTCTGGCTGCAACCTGGTCGGCGAGGGAGTCGCGGCCGAGGACGGAAACGCGGCGGCCGCCGGCAAATGCGTTTGCGGTCCGTCGGTGCCCTGGTGCCCGGGTGAGCCGCGGCCCTACATGTACATGACGCGGCACGAGTGTCGGCTCAATTTGGAGGCGAAAATTGCTTACGGTAGGACGCATTCATTCCATATGCGAGCGCACTGTGATGTACGGCGGCGGTACGACGCGACGCGATCCGCGTGCTCCGCTGCGGCGGCACGATAATGCGCGTCAAAGTGCACTAATGGCGAAATTAATTTCACGCTCGATTCGTCAAATGGCGCGAGTTACACCCGTCTATCGTTAGAGGAATCGGACGTAATACGCGTAGCGCGGGGACTATCAATTTTAATTATCTACCTACGTGTTCATCAGAACTGGCGGGAAACTTGTCTAATCGATGAAAGTTTCTACGCGCTCGCTTAATGCGTGTAACAATTTGTTCCGATTCGTTGCGTTTCTTTGGAGACGTCGATGATCGATGATGGACGGCATAGGTCTGTGAATCGGGGGAGAAACAAAAATTTCATTGCCACGGTTTACATTTATAATTGTCGCGGTGATAAGGAAAATGATAGATCTTCGTTTTTGTAGGAAAATCATTGGAGTGATTAATCGCGTTTTATTTTTGAAGATAAAAAATGACTTTAATATCCATTTAATTATTTCAAGAGAAACGAAAACGACCTGTAGTTACGCTTGGTTGTTTACTGTGTTTTTAAGCATCTAGCTCCGACCGCATTCTCGATGAATGGACAGTATTCATACCGTATCGACGAGTTCGCGTCGTTCACGAATCAATCGCGAAAATATCTTTTTAGTATATCGTTTGTGAGCTATTGCGAACGTCAATGTTTATTTACTATTACGTTTTTGCTCTCTTAGAGTGGCCACAAAGTTTTTGTTTGCTCTGCCGCGTTGTTTGTCTATCGCGCGCGTGCTACAGTTTACGATAAGAATCGTTGACGTGATAGAGAATGGGATCAATCTCGCGTAAAAAAGAACATTGTCATCGTCGTTTCCGAATGGATCGGAGATAGGGAATATAGGGCTCGCCCGCATTGCGCCACGTATTTGCAATAGCCAATAAAACTTCTGAATCATGGGCGTCATGAAAACTATAAACATTTATTTGGCCTATTAACAAAAGTTGTTTGCTCGACGCCGACAGTCCATCTGTTTTAAACTCAATCGCTATCCCCTTTTTAAAACGTTGCGCGCAATTCATTGAACGCGTCGCAATTTCAGTGATGCGACTCGTTAATTATGCGAACAATTACGACCGGCTGTTTATTTTATCGCCGTTAATCCTTTTAGCACAGAGAGACCCTTGTTCTTTCTTTATTTTTTTAACGAGTCATTTCTGCACGGCATTTTAAATTTTCTTTTTTTAAGAACATTTTTTAATTAAATTTTCATACGGCCCCCTCTTTGGATGAACTTGTTTGCGTTTGCGTGTTGCAAATAAAATAAAAAGCCGACGATGATTGGGAACCGGTTGGGAACGAAGGGGTTAAGAATTGACAGTCATCATTCGAGTTATATAGTCTTATTGCCCGATATTAATCGGGCGTATTTTTATCGTCGGTCGTTACTCCAGAAGGACGTGCCTTTACGACTGTCTTTTCTGGTGAGCGTAGCCAGCGTTGAAATGTGGATGAAAAAGCGAAATAGCAGCAAGGTGAATGAAATACGTGAAATACGTGTCGGGCGCGCGAACGGCGAGGCGTTAATGAAAAGAAAACACAAATAGTGTCAGAAGTGAGGACAACGACTAAGAAAAACGGGGAAACCGAACTGAAGGGGATACAGATGGTATACCCGGTAATCAGAAAAAGACACAACTGCAGGCCACACTCGTGACGCAACGTTCGTTCGTTCGTTATCGGTTTCGTCCTTTCTGATTAAAACACACAAAAACAATCGTCACGTGAAAGAGAAGATTGTATTATCTATCGCTAAAACTCGAAGCGACTTTTTATAGTTTCTCGATTATCCAACGTGATTTCCGATATACTGTATAAGAACTAATTGAACTTTGCACATCAGAACGACCTCTTTCACTCAATTGCATCAATGTCTTTTTAGAAAAATCTCTGCTACTCCGCGAAGCAATAATTCCATCATCGAAAATATAATATTTCCAATTTATCTAACGATATAAAATACAATAATTTTCTCTATACTCTTCTTTCGTCGAAAGCGTACTTGTATTTGGGCGATTTATACGTCACATACATATGCATGTGTATCATATTAATGTACCGCGTGTACAACATGTTGCAAGCTGAATGTCACGCGCATTCGATTCCTCCTGCTCTCAGCTGCAATAATTGCTCATGTCGAAAGAAATAACTGCGTGTGGGTGACTCCATAACAGTTATGATTAGAGCTCTCATCCGGAGTTGCTCAGAATCAATAGTTAACTCGTTCTCCTTTCGAGTGCAACTTCCAGAAGTCCATCTCGACACAGTGCGGTGTTCAACGTGTAACGAGGTTGTTGGTGAACGAGTAACAAAAGTAGTTACCCCGGACGGTGCAGAAAGTTAAATTCGATTCGTTGAGAAAAGTTTAATCGCGTACGTTCTATAAAGGTAGAAGGCAGACGGATTGTTCTTTTACCAGCGAGCTAAGTACACGAGTAAAATCTCTAAGTCCGAAAGAGGAATAAAGGAACCAGCCGACCGAGTCCATTTCGGTGAACCGAAGCACTTCCGGTGTCCTCGAATGGCACTTTGTATATTAGAATTATGTGTTACTTTCAAATATATAAACATATATTACGTTTAAACTAAAATTAATAATCGTTAATTACACAATATTATCATACTCTCTAAAAATCAATCAGTTTATCACTGAAGTGAATAATCTCTGATTTGCAGTTACAACTGAAAGTTGCAGTAACTGTAAATCAGTGACTATTCACTGTTTTCAGTGATTACTCACTGATTCCTTTTTAGATAGTAAGTTGTATGGAATTGGACATGCTTTATTACTGTATCAGAAATATTAGCTGTTTATGATAAATCTCGAAAATGAGAAGGAAATTGAAATGCAGAACGAAGCTAAGAATTATAGATTTGTATTCAATTACCGTGCTGGGTATCACATTAATTCGCTTACAACCATATGAAACATTTATTTTATCTCTTTACACCCACATTCTTTATTTGTGTGTTATGACGTCGAATATTTTCAGAATAGACACCATTCGAAGCAGCAAATTGATTTGAATAGAGACATTTTAGCGGTATCATCCCCCGCAGTGATATAAACTGGTATTTGGAACGCGCCGCGAATTTCATTGCACCTCATTGAAAGTAATTGTCTCCCGGTTAATTGAGTGCAATGCCCGATATTGTTCGCCAACCGCGATAAAAAATCATTGATTTCGTCGCGAGTGTATTACACCTCGAAATGCAATGTGTAGGAAATTGTGCGAAATACGGGATGCAATAATAGGTACACATGGTGTACATGCGCTGCATTGTATCTCTATCACGTTTATATCGGTATTTACGAAATATGTTTATAGCGGGTATTTTTCTACGCAAATTTACTCCACGAAAATAAACCAAATTCCATTATATTATCTGAAATAATTCAACAATCTTGTTGTTCAGCCAAATTTGCGATTTCTCAGATTTCGCTTAAGCATTTCTCAAGGATAAAAGCAATCATAAAAACCGCATTAAAAAACTGCACATTTTATATACATAGATATTGGAGCCTTTCTGACTCGTCCTAAAAATATTAATGCATATATGCGCTGAGAAACTACGTAATTTAAATTCAATTCTCTTTTATTTTATGAAACTGAATTTTATTAGCTTAATAAACGCGTCACGATAATAATGTATGTATTTCTGGAAACGATTACCAAATTGATTTGTTATGTACCGAACAGTTTTACAATTTTATTTCTTTTTACTTGTTGCAAATAAAACAATGGGTTAATAACGAAGTTGCCTTCGAAATATATAATAAATATTGCTTAAATTGCTCGTTGCCGCGGCCGACCTGTCGTTAGCAGAAATTAATTCGTTTAATAACGCGTGCAACGCGAATTTATACTCGACTGGAAGTTTGGCGCCGAAATCGACTTTGCAACACCTTCAATTTCAGTTTACGTTAGGCCATTATGCCCGATTCATTTTATGTCATAGCCTAACAGCTAGTCGTCGCATGCCCATGGTAAACTTATTCGACACGCTAATTCATGGAATATGAAGCGAATTGCGAATCATATTGCGGGAACTAATAAAACTTTGGGGTGATGCTTAGCGGACGTAAATTAAATGCCACATGTCAAGAATTCGTTTGAGTGGATTTTCAGTCCGCGACGATAATGTCTGAGCGTTTAAATCAAAGCATCTGGCGAGCGAGTTAAATATCTAATTACTATAACAGAAAAGATTACGCGTTCCTTGAAGCGGAAAAAGTTTCCATCAATTTTTCCATATCTTAAATGTTAATAATGGCAAACTTTTACTATTGGATTTTTTTTTTCAATTTATTAGAACGAATAATCGCGAGTAGCTTTCAAACTTTATAACTCTGTTTTCAAAATTATAAATAAACTTTGCATCTCGTTTATAAAACTGATGATATTATTGGAAATAGTATCCCGAGCAGGAAATTAATATATTTTTCTTTTAATGATAGAAGGAAGAGTTTGTTCTTCTTCCTTTTTCCTCGTCCTTTCTTTTGTTCTCACTCGCTTTCATCTCTATCGGAGTAATATGATTGATTATTTTAAAACTTTCTGGAGAGAAAACACGATCGGTTTTTTTTTTACGCGGCAGGGATACGAGGGTGCGCTTTACTATTGTACTTCACTGCTTCGTTTCCGGAATCAAAATATATTTTGGCCCATTCGCCACATGTCAGAGAACGTAACATCGAACGAAAGCGTTTATGAAACATTCCAGGACATCCCTCGATCCTTTATACTCTTGGCAATTTCTTCTTCGTTCATACGTACTCCTCTCACGTCCCGGATCCAATCGCTTTTTACTCTCATAGTATAGCGAAACAACGTAAAGTCATATTGTGAAGTGCTGGCTCGGCAAGGTCTTATGAAAACCTTTGGATCTTCACTTTACTGCATGCAGAATTTCGAAGGGCGCGCGAATGTTCTTTGAGGAAGCTTGGCACGGTCAATTTTACTCGTAAATTCCTTTTCGCGCATGCAAAATGATCTTTGCAACATTTATTTATTTAGATTGACAACTAGAGATGGGACGACACAGAAAATTTATATGAATTTTAGAATATAAATGTCATAAATCCCATCGCAGGAAATGAATTAAGTATACAAATCGAGATAAGATGTGCACACAATTGTTTTTAGCCGGGAAAGACTGAGATTGCATATTTGCGGTCCCTGCACAGATGAATAAAATTACACCGGGATAACTTTCTCAGAAAGTTATTCCTTTTCTTATCACGAATTCATGAATTTCTAATCAGATATGTCAGTGCGTTAAAAGTGGCCTGAAATTGGAATACCTATTATTAGATATACCGGCGACGGGATATCTATCTTTATTCAGTCGGCTTTTGGGTCAGAGCGCCGCGATATCGTGGGAAAACGATCCCCCAATGTTGATCTAGCCTGGTTCAGACATTAGACTGCGCAATTGCGCCGATATAAACACGTGGTCGGGCGTGATCGGGCGACGTATCGCCAATCGCTTTCGTACGCAGTCAAGACCAATCTAAAAATGTCAAATGTCCGACGATCTAATTGCCAGGGACGAGGTTGCGGGAGCGTAGGATTACGGATGCCAATATAGTCGTGCCGGTGCCTTACGGTCTCGCACGCCTCAACGGCCAATAACTTAATAATTGGGTCATTACACGAACGCTTTATTGATCGTTAGATTCAACTTGATCTCCGAAGATCTTCGTTGAGGATAAATTATAAAGCTAACCTCGGAACAGAAACGAAACCATTAATTTCGTCGGAGAAGCTACCTTATTTATAAATTAATGACTCGCGCAAGGATGTATAAGATTAGCACGTGACATAAATATAATAGTGACATCGGCGCGCGTCGGGTGCAAAGAAAGATTATAAGAAGCTAGACAATATTAGCAGATGCGTTTCTGCTATTCGTGTCCTATACTCTGCTAAAAGAAACCGAAATAGAAAAGAAACATGTAGACTGAATCTAAAAATAATTCTTCTTTATAGGCGAATTATAAGAATTCGCAATAATTTACATTTATTATTTTCATAATTAAGTAATTACTGAATATACCAGTCTATATTAGGAACAGTTCACCTTATACGAAAATTTACGAAAAAAACTTGTAGGTATAAGGCAATATCAAATATTTTTAAGTAGTTGATCTGTTGCTTTGAATTATTGATTTCTATACTTTAAGTATATGAATAATTAATGCGGAAAGATGCTGAATTGCATTTGTCTAAAAACTTAGATGTAATGAACTTGTCGAATTAATGTTTACTACGAGCGTAGTGACGTGGAGAGCTGATTGGATGGAAGGTGAAGGGCAGTTACTGCTGGGCAAATATTAATAGTAAATATCGCAGCGGTCGTCCGAGGAAGATTACTCCGTGGATTTGCCTGCACTTTCGAATAATCCGATATTTGCCCGGGACTCGCGTCGATGTTGCGTAAAATTTACTCGCTATATTAAACGTCCGGCGGCAATCCATTCGGATATTTGTATAACAAACGTTCGCGGCCGCGCGAAATATTGAATTGCTCACCCCTAAGCAAATTCATAATCTATAACGCGCCGGTACCCACAATGGCGGTGATATTTAATAAGACCGGGACATTTATAGAACAGACCGAGACATTTATCGCGCATAAATATATTCGAGAGAAAAAAAGACGAGGCAGTTTTTGCAAAATAATCTCAGGTTCTTAAAAGTCCATGTAAATCTGTGTTTTTTTTTATCGAGTCAGTATCGAGAAATCGACAACAGCGTTCGAAAAGGCACGAGTGCATCATGAAACTGATTTAGACACGTACCTGTAATTTTCAGTAACACATTTGTCTTCGTATCTTCCTATTCTGCTTTCGTATTCTTTCCACGCACATTAACTTCTTTCTTTCTTTTTTTTCTTTAGTCTTTCGTTCCGTTACTCTTTACACTGCCCATTATCAATTGGTTCTGACTAATGCAATCTTCTTTGTGAATTCATTCTTTAATCAATGCCAATTACATCGCTGGATGACACGCGATTTGGTATTTTAATGGAGCTAAATTGCATTTACGGCGCTGGTCATTACGGAGACGTAATTATCGAAGACTGAATTACTTTACTTGTTAGCAGTTCTCGATCGAATCGAGCCGCTTGGGCACCCCCGATCGCGAAATAATGGACGCGCCCGAGAATGCTATCTAAGTTTAATCTAATGAAGTGTTTCGCAAGTACTCGTTAATTAATTCATGCCCAATATCCGTCTATACCGAGAAGTACCACCGCAGCCGATAAACTTCTAACTTCTGTTTCAGATGACCTCTATAATTCTGGCGACATGCCGAGCAGCACTGCCATCGAGGGTAAGTTACTTTCAACCAATTCCAGAAGTTTTCGCGAACGGGCGGCTTTAATTGAGTATGTTTAGTATTCATCCCTTATCGTGTTTAAGGGATTAAAGGGAAATTATACGAGCTCGCGTTTCAACAGTAAACTCCGCGCCACTCTTCCTTTGACACTGTATCGTGGCTTTAGCAGTCTTCAACTCTCGGCATTAATATGTTTGTCGTTAACAAGTGTTGGGGGAGAGTGGGGCACAATGTGTCACGGGACATTGTGAGTAATGTCACTGTTTTCTTATTTTTAGTTCGACAAATAATTATACTTATAGTGATGATTAAGAATTAAAACGGGGAACTTGTAGTTAACCCAACTGGCATATTCCTTTATTTAGCAAAATACAGATATATCTTTAATGAAGCAAAATAATGTACCACTATATTATTTATGTTTCGCTCGATATAAATTACTTTTACATTGACCGAATTTTCTCGACATCGTTCCTCATGCCAATAATTCGCCACTCTACTCAATCACGTTCGGAAAATGCAATTATTGTTACAATATTTCACGAAATTGACTAGAGGAACGTAATCTTATTTGATTGACAATTATTTGGTATTTACCGACACCCGTTTTGTACATTTTATGCAAACTACCAAAAAATTGCCCCCTTGTAGCCGGGCATCGCTGCCAATTATTCTCACGTGTTTCCATGATTCTCGCATTTACTTCCACGGAATAATTACGCATATTTTTAGCAAAATATCCCGAAAATCTTTCGTTCTTCTCAATTAGAATCACATGAAAAGTTTATAAAACATTTTTTTAAAGATACAAAGTTGTAATAACGCAATATTATCATAAAAATGCTGTTATTAAATGATGTTTCAATCGTGTTAACTTGGTAAGTTTTGTTGCCTTAAAGATACGACTGAAATTTGCTTTCTCGAAACAGAGAATGTTAGGACAGTACCGTTTAGATGATATTGCAAGCTAAATAGAAATTCTTCTCCGCCATTTTCCGTGATATCAGTGCCACTCGCGCTGCTACTAATTACATCTCTTATCGGCGTAACACATCTACCACGTTCTTCGGGACAGTGTTGGGTACACGGGGAAGCGCATAACCGCCAATGTAACGGCGAGATAGTCCCATAAACGACTCAGTGTGGAATTGAATTATTTCGTAAAGATTGGGGAAAAGATTCGCGAGGGTTAAGCAGTCAGCACTCGAGACGCACGAGATGGGAAGGTTAATTTAATTTGGTAGGCGAAAGCGCCCTCCCACCGTCCTCTGTCTTCCCTTTCTCCTCCCCCTCTCCGCCTATTGCGAAATAAGAAGAAGAAAGTAGCGAAGATAAGAACTTGCTTCTCTGGACGACCACAGTTAGCCCATTTTGCGCGGTTTCTAACAAACAACGCGAAAAGAAGGCGAAGTTCGGTGATGCGCCGAGAAGCCGTAACAAAGGAGGGACCCGCGTATATCGCGGCACATTTGCGGCGAGGCTTTTCACAGGGAATTTCCGGCGCGACCGGGCGCGTTAAAAAATTACACTTTTGCGTGCGTACCGTGAAATTGAAGTGGCAAGGTTGTTTTTCGTTTTTTTACTTGGAGCTTGCATCGCACCGGCCCTGGCCGGGTACGGTTTCGCATTACACTTGCGTCACTTTCGAGCGGCTACTTGCCGTTGAAATTACATACGGGGAGCTCTATCGATCGTACATCCAAATTTCGAGAGATAAGCGAACACAGCACTGCGCGACAGAGAAAACGTGGCTTGATTTTCATCACTCGCCAAGTTTTAAGATCAAATTTTCTCCGGGTTTGCAAGCGGTTCGAAGATTTTCAAATCGTTATTTTAATCTTGAAAAAAAACTGGGTTCTAAATTTCTCTACCTTTTCAATAGTTTAAGATTACTTTTCTCAACTTTCAAAAATGGGCAAATTTTACTTTTGCATCGAGTGACTCTGATTCTTACGCATTTAATATATTATACCCACATTAGGGCAACCGAGTATTCATAATTGTAAATTGTGAGGTTTGAAACTGTTTCAAAAGTAACAATTACATTATTCCATGTAGCTGGAAGCCAAGGGCGATTTAATTTATCGGGTGGTCTTTCGCAAGACGAGTGATGAAAACTTCTCTATTGCTTCTAGTCGTCTGCGTTGCCACGTCGGGCGGCTGTTTCCAATGAGTTGTTACGGAGAGTTTTCATGGGTTGGTTGCGTAAGGTAGCAGAGTAATCGTGACAAAGTTCGTCGATCTAATCGTATGTCGGTGCGACGTATGTTTCAGCTAAAGTCGATGAAAGTAGACACAGCCAGATACTTTGTTAGAGCTTGCAAAATTTCACCCCAAAATTTTTCTTTCGATGATCGCCCAGTGCGGATTTGAGAGTCCAGCGCTTACTGAACATAGTGCAGACCAAGTTTCATCCGAATTTAACTGTTGGTTAACGTGGCAGTGATTTTCAAGACCCTTGAGTTCCGGGGAGAAAACATTGGATGCACTTGGCGTGATGACCAACAGTCAGATTCGGATAAAACTTGGCACGCATTATGTTCAGGCGCTGGGCTCTCGCGTCTGCATGAACCTGGACGGTTATCGGAAAAAAATTTGGAGTGAAATTCTGCGATACGTCCTTTAGTGAAACGATTCGTGAATGGAATTTCTTGGGGCAAATTTTTTCCCGATTGGTGTCAGTCATTAATACACGAAGAGAATTTTAAGAGAAAATTCTCTCCGTGTATTAAGGTGTTACGATATTAATGGCGAAATAAAATGGTGGAAAGGTGGAACGGGTAAATTTTATCGATTAGTATTTTGATTATTAAATCAAATATTTCTGATTTATTAGAATTAACGTTTAGATCATGTACGAGTAATGAGATAATCTAAGCCGTTTGTTTCTTCTATTCTTTCAAAGTCTCCCTTTCTAAAAAAGAGATGTTACTAGCGCGAATGTCGTTAATATCGAACAGTTAAGGTCTCTTTTCCGCGATCCCTATTGGTTTTCTCCAAGCGCGGTGTGATTCACTTCTCTTTTAGATTCGTGTCATGTTTCAGCTCGCATGTGAATTTTGACAGTTGTGCAAAAATATATTTAGATAAAGTTAGAGACTAAACAAAAAGTTAAAGAAAATAAAGTTAAAGTTAAATATCTAATTGAGTGAAGAAGAATGAAAGAAATTCTCATTCTTCTAATGAGATACACCGATAACTAATCTTTTTTTTAAAAAGGTCCATAATAAATGAAGATTTAGTAATATACATTTGTATACACCAACTATTGAGGTAAAATCTCTAATCTTAGTAGGTACTTAGAATTTAAGTAACATTGATTTTTGTTTCGAAACATTTTCTCGATTGAACAGAATTAATCGTTAATTTAATCAATACCAATAAGTCCGCGGAATAATACGCAAAAGGTAGCAACAATCACGGAACAAAGTAATGTACAATAAAATATTAAGTACAGAATTTTCCATTGCGTAGGCAGGCCAACGAATTCTCAACGTTTTTTTTCTTGTTTTTCACTCGGCGCGGTATCGTACGACGATTAAGCGGGCCAACGAATTCTCAACGTTTTTTGTTGTTTTTCACTCGGCGCGGTGACGTACGATGTTTTTGCGTGCCATCGTGTACCTGAAGGTCGCCTGCCCTCTCACTCGCTCGCCGAACGTCGAGCCGGCAGGCAGTGGCGAGAGTCGCTCCGTGCGTGTTATTACTTTTGCGTTATCGGTTTTCAAGACTCGATCGCGATAAAAGCAGGGATAAAACACTATTGATTTGCACACCTTTATTAGTAACAAGTAACGTTCCTCGATTAATTATTACGTTTCTACAGCTTATAATGAGAAACGAAGTGCGACTTCGGCGTTCGCGCTGTAATTCGCCCTGTCGTTCTTCGCAACTCGAACGGGCAGGAAGTAAAGAAAGTCGCTTATCGCACGTCGTTACATTATGTAAATGTAATTGAAAATTATCTCAATTAACTGTTGCAATTAATAACAACTATTTATCGCTGAAAATTTCGCTCACATAATTCATTTCGAGGATTAGATTGAATGACAAAGATTGTGAAATATCGTTTCGTTGCGGACTAATAACTATAACTACTTATTTACCGCAGATTATGCTTCCGATGCTCGCATTGAGTTTTATATCGTCAATTCAAAAGTAATTTATCCATTATTCTATTCTTCCGAATCAAAAATGCAAGTTGCTGGTTTGAGTAATTTGTATGATTAAAAAGTGACGCGATATTTGTTAATAATATTTCGTGCGTTTCGCGGTATCTCACATCGCGTACGGGAGTGCTCGAAATTTCGCGCGATCGATGATTTTCGCGAGTGAGTGGTTGTGTGAGTGCGACAAGGAAATCTGAGAGGAGGACGAGGAGGTCTAAGAGGCATCGGGCAACGGCGGATAAATTGGTGAGGTGAGTGTTTAACATTTGCTACTTGTGCAAAATACAGCATCTGTTCTGTGTTTTTATTTTATTTATTCAAATGATTCGAACGAGGATTCGAATAAGTGTTAGAGACAAAACCATACGTACAAAATTTTGTGAGTTTAAAATTTTAAAAGGTAGATTTTTTTCAATATTCTATATAGTTATTTTAATAAATACGTGTTTTTAAAAATATAAAGTATATTTAATAGAATTATTTCGATTTTACATAATTAGTCTATAATAATCATATGCATATTTGTATTTTTACAGTTTAACACATACAATTGACGATGTACAACTCTGCTGTTGCGAATCGTATTAGTGAGTAACAAATTACTTTTTATTTTAAATTGACGTTGCGCATACAATTACTTCTTTGCATGTATACAATTTCTTAAAAATATACAATGCTCGACTATAAACTGCGCGCGCGAAGCGCGCGTTTTGTCATTTCTGGTATATATTAAAAATGCAAATAAAATACATGATTACGTGAAATCAAATGAAAATCGGTCCTGCAATGCTTTAATATACTAAAAGTACAATGTAATAAACGGGA